TTCCTTTTTGTACTCTGGTTTTTGAAAAGGAAGTGTAGCTCTCCTAAACAATCGAACTTATCTGATCACAGATGCTCTCTTCAGAATTTGCACCATGCAGGACAAAGACACTTTTGCAATTGTCAATATCATCTTTCATAAAATAAAACTACTGGGTGTAAGTTTTTCCCCATACAAAATGTTGGGAAGAGGAACAAAGGTGGAAAAAAGATAATGAAGTTAAGTGTCAACACATCTATCAAAAGTATTTTTGATTTGAGTTTTGTTCATGCTTCTCCCAGACTACACAATCGTGGATGAGATTTTATTGTACTTAGTTTACAATATTCAAACACACAATCATAGAAACAACTTTCATGCTCTATCTCCTTTCAACAGTGAGTTTGGTAAAAATGTTCATTATGCAACTGAATAGCAACTATAAAGGAGACTGATTACAAGTACATTCAGCTATTATTGACTGCAGGTCCTGTGTTTCTGTTCATTAAATAGTTTTCCACATCGCTTTCAGCAAAGTAAATACTTTCTAGTCAGCATCGTGGTCACATTCCTTTAAGACTTCTTGTTCCTTTATCCTCACAGATCACATGAAATCCTACCACAGCATATGCTCCATCATGTGTTCTATCTAATTAGATTGTTCCTAATTACTTAAATGCACCCAGTGTATTCTGCAAATACTGCTTTACTGCTTGTTTTGTTTGGTGCGTTTATATAAAATACATGGTGTAGTAATGTATATAAGGCCTTTTCTCAAAGGGATCATATTTGGCATTGTTCTTGCTGTTTACTACATGGCTGTCCTACCTTTTCCCTGTTAAATGTTTTCATCTTGGTTAGTCATTGAAATATTTGAACTATGGATTATTGTGAAGTTAAATGCTACTGCAACCCTAAAAAGCAAAAAAAAAAATTGTTTATCATCATAATGGTAGCCTCTTTACAATGAAAAATATATATTCAGCTTTATCTTGACGTATCTAGTGATGTCCATTGTACAGAATACCATTTTATAACAATGGGATACATTTATGATGTTTTCCTTAAGTAGTGCACAATATTTCTGCACGTCAGATGCATTTCAGATTAGAATCATGTGGAATTCAGCCTCAGGTATTTTTGAACTCTTCCTCTCATCAAGGATTTACAACATTAGAGTAAATAACTGCTGTCCACACTGACTGAACTGACATGATAGCATTCCTCCTTCCATAGACAAAACAGCTGTTGCTCTGAGCACCTTACATGTTAAATTCCTTATCTACTAACAAACTTTTAGAAAGGCTTAGAAAAGTTTTGAAATATTCCTTACATTTCTGTGCAAGGTCACGTCTGGCACCCTATCCATTATAACAATGCAAAGCATGCAACTCTAACATTACTAAGCAGCAGGATGAGTGCTCCCCCACCTGGTCTTGGGCATTGTGACATCACCTTTTTAGGCAGAATTCCACAAGTAGGTGACCCTAGACCAGTTCTGGGCCAGGAGGTGACCATACCCTGTGTACCACCCATGCATACCCACCAGAGTCTATTAGACTTAGTACATGTGGTAGTTGTGATCAGTGGTGAACACTGTGTTCCCACACAGTCTTATTAAAACAAAGTGTTTAATCTTAATAGTAGAATCAGCATAACAGTAAGAGGAAAGGGATTGTAAAACAAACTGGATATAGCATTTATCTTATGGGCTTACTTATGCCTATCTTACCCCAGACTCCTATCTCTAGGGTCACTCCGTTCCTAAACAGTCTCCTCCTTAACCATCAGCCCTCCTCAAGTCTGTGTCTTTCAATCCTTCTGAGGCCTTTGATCCTGTCCACCTTCAGGGGAATTGAATCCCTCTTGGAGATGACCCCTCTGCCTGGCCCATGAGAGCTCTCTGGGTGCCTGAGTCAGGTCTTCAAAGTGAATTGCTCCGCATTATCCTCCAATGTTTGCAGAGACAGGTGATTATCAGGAAATCCCCTGGAAAAACTGCTCACATTCATATGCATGCAGAGAGTAATGTCACAGTCCAGCTCAGACATACTATTGATAAATTATTCTAGGCAGCGCCAAGGCAGTTACTGCCAGCAATGGGATCGGCACTATATGAGACCACAGAGGGGCAGTGCTGCTACTTAGCACAACTTGTTTCAGGTTGGAGTTGTTCAAAGTTGCCGTCCCATCACAGCAGTTCTTCTACAAGGCCAGACAGGATTGAAACAGATTTTAAAATGTGGGTCTCTCACCTGAACAAAATAAATCTGAACTTCTGACATAGCTATCTGGTGTAACCTGTTATTCCCTCTTCCTGCTTCAGCTCAACCAGCTCTCCTTAGGCTCCTATTCACGACAGCCTGTGGATGGGTGGCACTGAAGCTGCTGTGTGAAGTGCATGCTCCAATGGAGATAACTATTTTCTCCCAGACACCTGTCCAGAATAGGTTAGAACATATGGAAATGACTTGCCTTTTTTTCCCTTTAAATAAGTCATCTAGTC